CTTCAAAAGTTAGGCGCCAGCTGTCATTTTCAAGGAGCACGGGCCACCTGGCTCCTGGGATTTCTCCAGCCCTGGGGCATAGTAAGGAAAAGTTTGATAGCAACAGTGTTAATTTTGACACCAAATTTCATTTTAGTCTTAGTCTTTTGACAAAAATAATTTTTTATATTTTTAGTTACATTTTAGTCATCAGATTAATTTTTATTTTAGTAGACGAAATTCAAGTCAATTTTAGTCGACTAAAATCTAACAGGATTATTTTTAGTGTAATGCATTATTTAAGCAATTCTCTAGCATTTCCAAACTTGCTTTATTGCTATCAAATGGGGGGGGGGGGGGGGGGGCCAACAAAGCCCCCGATGTGATGGCACATTGGAGGTAACAGGTTCTTTTTAAGGTGACATTAGGGGTCTTTTACCCCGAGTGTCACCTTTCCACTTCACTGGATTCAGCTACTGAGGCAGCTGAATGTCAACACAGCAGGCAGTGGCTTGGAGCAATAGCCGGCCTGATATTGGATATTTTAAATTGCAATAGCCAATAGCAGGCTGGGTAAAGCACCCGTATACTGCCTGCTGTCAATCAGCAGAGGAGGGAACTGAAGGACATAGGTCTCCTTCAGGTCCTCCTCTGCTGATTGACAGCAGGCAGTGGACAGGTGCAATAGCCAGCCTACTTTTGGCTATTGCAATTTAAAATATCCAATAGCAGGCCGGCTATTGTTTCCAGCCACTGATGGGAGACTTGGCGCCAGTGTTCTATCAATCCCTTGTATTCAGAAGAATTGATAGAACACCGGCAGAAGAGGAGGTACGAGGGAGCAGAGAAGAGAACGAGGCAAGCAGAGGAGGAGGAACGGGACAGTGGAGGAACAGGACAGCCAGAGGAGGAGGAACGGGGCAGGCAAAGAGGGAGGAACAAGGCGGCCAGAGGAGGAGGAACAGGGCAGCCAGAGGAGGAGGAACTAGGCGGGCAGAGGAGGAGGAGGAACGGGCAGCAGCAGAGGTACGAGGGGGGGCATTGGGGGAATGCTGTCACAGCAGTCTCTTCCCCCTGCTGGTGCTAGCTGCAGTGGTCTGTGTCCCCACTACCTCTGCCGATACAGGCAAGGAGAGCAGCAGGGATTGAAAGGGACACAGACGTCTGCAGCCAGCACCAGTGGGGAGGAGAACGGACATGCAGCGCAGAAGCACTGCAACTAATCAATATTGAGAATCCTTGACTCTCATTATCAATTTCATGTTAGTTCGTTAACGAAAGTGTGTCCCGGACGAAAATAATTTTTGTCCTATTAACTACTCTATAATTTTGTTTTTGTTTAGTTTTTATCACTGAAAAACCAAAACAATGAAAGAAAACAAACTATCATGATGCGATGAACTGCCAGTTACCTTACATGAAGGTGGTATCTGGTTAGGAAGACTGTGTGGTCATGCCTCTACAATACATTTCTCCATCTTGTAGCCTTGAAAGCGTGTTTACAAAGCAGCCAAGAATCTGGGTTTGATTTTACAAAGTGGAAATGTAATTTTTTTTTCATTCGAGGTTTACTTACTAGTCGTTGTTAGCTGTTAAATGTTGCTGTGGGGCTATGAATCACAAATCAAGTAAAACTGTAGCCCCACTATTCAACGTCCACTGCAAACAGCTGAAATCCTTTATATTTCATTGTAACAAATAAGCACACTTTCAGCACAGTTAATTCTCTAGTAAACAGTGCCTGTTCACTTTGCACTCCATTTTACACAGGGGAGCACATTTTTGTGTATATGCTCTGTATAGTCCATGTCTCAGAGGGGAAGACAAACTAAGTCTATTTCCCCAAAACTACATCTTGGACCAAAACTACAAGAATAAGTTACAGTATCTGATGTAGCTTCAACTTCTTATTGACTGTATACAATATTTTCTTTTCTTGGTATTGTATATTCTTATGCCCATCTCTGCACTAAGCCTCAAGCTATATAAAGGACTAAAGTCAGTTATTTGGAAAAGATCCTTTATTATGTACAATTAATGCATCCACAGCTAATTATCTATGAATTTGACAGAAAGTGGCTAAGGGGAAAGTAGAATTTGGGGCACGTTAACAACCTATGATTAGTGTGTGTGGAATGCCCCATGGCCATCCAGCATTCCTTGACTCATTGAACACTTGCATGGCCCCAGGATGTACATTGTGTCCTGCAATATGCAGCTGTGCTATAAATGAGCTAGGCATGACCCCAACACATTTAAGGCTGCTGTATAACAGCATTCAATTTTAACCATTTGGCAGCCAGAGGCCGATAGAATAAAACCCATGTCACAGTAGCAAGACATCTTGAACAAGTTCAATAAAAAGACCATTATTTCATGCCTTCTTAGTTTTGTGACCTTGAAATGTAAACTTTTTGTGAGCGTATATGCTCTGCATCCTACAAGTGCTGCTGTTGTTCACAATCTGCTGTTGTTCACAGATGGTAATGGTAAACACCTCTGACTCCACTTCTCCTTCTACAGCATTTCCATAAGATGAAGTACATTCCCCATTCCACACTGCCCAATTCTGTATACTGTGCTGTATTGTTCCCTATTTCACACTGCCTTATGCTGTAAACTGCACCATACATTGCCTATTTGGATAAAAGTTTCCAGTCTTCCCTCTTAATTTCCTCCCACTGACCCTAACGATGGGAATACTTTACTTCCACTGACCCCCAAAGATGGGACTTATTATACTTCCACTGACAGCTATGATGGGGTTTATTTTACTTACCATGACACCAGCGATAAGATATATTTTACTTTCGGTGACACCAATGATGGGGCACATTTTACTCACAGGGACACCAATGATGGGACTTATTTTATCCCACTGACACCAATGTTTTTGGACTTACGACCTCAATCCCAGCCAATTTAGTTCTGCAGCAGATTCCTGTGATTCAGTGGATTCTTGCCACAGGAATCACATGTGGTTCCTGACAGCTGTGGCCACTTACTCTGTGCAATCACAGGTTGTCAGGAGCCCCAGCTGTCCACCGCTGTTTGCATTTATCTGCACATCCAGCAATTACCTGCTGCTAGGGACAGATGACTGACTGTGGACGCAATCTGTCTGTGTCCAGGGCCAGCCATCTGTCCCTAGCCACAAGCAACCTCTAGCTTGTGCTGGAAGCAACCGGATGTGTGCTTAGTGGAACGCTCCATTGTGAACGGGCCCTTAACTGTCAGGGTTTATTCTCTGTTTGTGACCCCTTTGGGGAGATTCTCCCTTACTTTCAGCCTGTGATGCCCATACAAGTTATAAGGGTTACAGCTATCACTGGGACTGGAAGGTTCAGACAACAATAAAGACATTGTCACATAGTAATTAAGAAACATGGAGCAGCTCTACCTTCTTGTTTCCAATCCCGCTGTTTAAACCTCGGTGCCTGGTAAAGCTTCTGCCGGAGCCTTCACTGAGCAATAGGTAAAAAACCGGTGCTCGCAAGGGGATCCTCCATCCAATACCATATTTGCAAAAAGGCATTAAAGCAGAAAACAAAACTGGGCCTTAGTCATAGCCAATGTCATACTCTACTAGAAATGTGTTTTTGTGTTTGTCTTCTGTCCCAGTTGGAGAGATATTGAGAGGAAGTACTGGAAATTATCCCCAAGGGGAACAGAATAAAAATCTGACAGGGCTTCCAACCCTTTCCTGGTCTATCAAGTACAAAATTAGAGGTTTTGACTGTAGTCAGTGGCGGAACTACCGCCGGTGCAGCCGAGGCTGTGGGGGGGCCCAGTGGGGTCCGGTCCTGGGCACCCCCACAGCCTCAGTGGGGTCTGGTCCCGCAATATGGGGCAGTGCACGGTCTCCGGGACCTCGCAATGACGACTGGCTTCTCAGTGAGAGGGCGGGTCCTGTGACTCACCTCCCCTCACGCCCCCTGCAGTGCACACATCGAAACTCCCTTTTCCTTTGATAGAACACCGCCATCAGGGGGGGTATGGCCGATACCCATGTGAGGGGTCTGGGGGGCCTCTTACATGGGTATCAACTGTACCTGGGGCAGCATGGCAGAGGTGACGGGGGTGGAGGAGGCCGGGCCCCAGCAGCAACAGGTAAGAAGAGTTGGGAGGAGGTACAGGGAAAGGGATCCCGACGACCAGCCCACCTGGGACCCTGCAGAGCCAACCATAGAGAGTCTCAGGTGGGCTATGCAGGATGTATGGTGTGCTCTGCAGGGTCTCAGGTAAGTCCAGCACGCTACTGCAACATTAGAAACCTGCGGGGGGGGGGATGCTTGGGCCAGTGTGATCCGCTCCCACGCCCCCCATCTTGAGAGGGGGGCCCAAGATAAAGTCTTGCACCAGGGCCCTTTGGTTATTAGGTCTGCCACTGACTGTAGTGCAACATATGTGCCACCACTGTGTTGGTCTCATGCTGTTTAGTATATGCAGTTTCTAAAATGGACCTATAGCTAGTGACAAAGTCTGACTGTAAGGTTGTGCGTGTGGGTATTACTTAGGGCTTAGTGCAAACTTTAACTCCCTCTTTTTGCTGGGGGCACATTTGATTCCCTCCGCATCTGGAATAATGGAGCCAGAATCCCTTTAGTGAGATGGGTATATAGCAGGCCAGTCAGCATTCCAAAATCCTCACTGTCAGACCTGACGTTTTACAACACAGTGATGTGAATTACACCACTAAAGGCAAAGATTCAAATAACACTTAGCACATGAAAACTGCATAATTATCAAATATATGTCAACAAGCCTGAAACTTCTTTACCTCCTGCTTGTGTAGCAGCTATAAAATCATGTATGAGCATAGCTCTGTATCCCAGCAAGGAAGATATATGCCTGCTGCTAGAGTGAGACGGCTTAAAGGCAGCACCTGGGTAGTTAATTCAGTCCAGGACGAGTGCACGTATACTCTTCTGTGGAACATAATTGCGGTATTGTTTGACAAATAGACATCTGTAGTGTTACGTAAGGAATGTTGTTATGTGTGTTTTCTTTTCTCCATGCAGAGATGACTACCAGGAAGATGGGTTCTGTCAGCCCTACAGGGGCATTGCCTGTGCCAGATTCATTGGAAACAGAAGCATTTATGTGGATTCCCTCCAGATGCAGGGTGAAATTGAAAACCGAATTACGGGTAAAAACTACACATCACTAGTTTGACTTTTTCACATTTAATAGACATATTTGGTTTACAGAAACATAAAAATTTTAAGATCACTGCATGTTACCAACCCAGTGCTCTCCAAAGCCTACAGCAGGGCGACCCGACCATGAAGAAAGCCTGTGCTGAAATTCTCTTTGTGAACATACTAGTTGCTTGACTGCCCTGCTGATCCAGTGTCTACAGTATTTTATAAGTCACTGACCCAGAACAGGAATGCACATTAGGAGCTCTGGGTTAAAGAAGAACTCCGGGCAAAAATGTTCTTAACCCTTGCAGTGGGACTAACCCGCACTGTAAGGGTTAAGTGCTCGTTTTTTTGTCTTGGTGCTAAAAAAAGAATTATACTCACCCGAACCACCGGCCTGCTTCTCCGGTCACTGAAGCCTCTCTCCTTCTATGCTGCAGCATTGGAATGTTCATTAGCGTCCTAACGTTTATACACGTCTATATAAAAACGAGCACTTAACGTTTGCAGTGCGGGGGTAGCCTCACTGCAAGGGTTAAGAAAAATTCTGCCTGATTGCTGCTTTAACTTATTGAACATCCATAGAAAGTATTTAAGTCAGACAGCCAAGCAAATAGCATTTTAAAAGTTCATCAATGACAGCCTACATACTTTGACCCATATAGGTTTCCTTTAGATTGGCTTTACACATATTCATTGCGGTAATGCATGGCATTTTGTGCGATTTGCTGTGGTGCCATTCATTTAGAATGGCACCCCAACCCATTGCTCTAGTAGGTAGCAACACACCTGTGCTGCAATGCTGCATTCAAAACATTTCACAGAGACATTTTTCATGTGTTGGCAATCCATCCTACATGAAATACTGCACATTAATGGATGTGTAGTAACACACAACAATGTATTGGAAAACTGTGAAGGGACCCTTGTTGTAAACTGCATGCCCTGGCTATTTCTCTTTCCAGTGTATCCTGTATATAGTTTGAGCTTCCCCTTAAATTTAGAAATGTAAATTCACAGCAATCTAAATGCACTGAATGTGGATTCGGGGAACTACCGTATGCATTTTATAAGAGTAGTTACATCTACTAAGGAACCGTGATCTGTACAATTCAGATCTCCTCTTCCCTTTATGTGTTTGAAATGCACAGACTATTTAAAGTAATAATGTGCCCTTATTTCAGCAAAGTCATTTTTCTAAGCAGCAGCTATGTTTCACTGAAGAAGTGAAGTCAAATCAGACTGGGCACTGTCCTTCAGCTTGGTAGTTGACATGATTATAAAGCTATTGTATGGCGCCCTCTAATGTTAAATTTAGCCAAAACACTATTTCATGTGTTTCTTTAGTACACTGTGCTATGTGCTTTTAGGTTTTTTTTAAATGTATATTTCATTGCTAAAGCCAATGTAGTAGTAACTTTTTATGAAGCATAATTTTCATCCCACAGCCCTATAAACTTTCTTGCAGATATAAATGTAGCTATATGCAAATCACATTATTCTATGCAAGAGGTTATGTGTATAGATTAACTACTTAACATAGTTCTCTTTACTATAAATGTTCCCTTTTACATTTTGTTATCATCTAATTTCTGTATCAGTGCACATTTATCTAATAATGATGTTCAATTTTGTACACCAATTTGCTACATTTGTTTTTTACTACGTTAATATTATAAGCCAGGTCAGTGGAATTAAATACTTTGTTCCAAATGCTTGTATATTGTCTTGAGGTTTCCACTGTGATCAAGTGTATTCAAATTTTGCATGTTGCCACATAGTAACTACAGAGATAGTGTAGTGTATAACTTAAAAGCATGGCTATACACTGTTTCCTGTTAAAAAAAAACTTTATTAAATCTGACAGCTAAAGCTGGCCATACATAGTAAATTCCCAAACAAACTTTCGTAAGAAAAACCTTTCTTTGCCACTCAATAATTCCATCAGACACTTGACGAAGGTCGACGAAAATTTCGTTTGATTTTGGAATGAATGGAGTTTCCCAAACGTAAACCACATTCATTGTTAGAATTTCGCTAATTCCAAAAAATTTCCATTCTGCTCCGACTTTTTTTTATCTCTAGGGTTGAAAAGGATAATCAATATGGCCCCATCAACTAATAGAAAGTTGATAAAAGATCTTCTAAGCAGTGTATGGCCAGCTTTCGTTTCCTCAACACCGATATGTACAGTAGTTTAGCACTCTTGTTAGGAAATCTTGCAGCTCGAGTCCTGAAACTCCACTGCTTTAGGGAATGCTAAAAAATCCTCTTTTTTTTTTCCAGCGGCATTTACCATGATCGGCACATCTACCCATCTCTCAGACCAGTGCTCCCAGTTTGCCATCCCATCATTTTGCCATTTTGTGTTCCCGCTTTGTGACGAGCGCTCTCGAACCCCAAAGCCAAGGGAGTTATGCCGGGATGAGTGTGAAGTACTGGAGAACGACCTGTGCCATCAGGAATACAACATTGCTCGCTCTAATCCTCTTATACTCATGCAGCTCCACCTCCCAAACTGCGAAGAACTGCCCCTACCAGAGAGCCCTGAGGCTTCAAACTGCATGAGAATCGGAATCCCAGTGGAGAGGATGAACAGATGTAAGTTGTTGGTTTTACCCAGTTTGCAGCTCTGCGTGTGTGGCTGTCAGACATCTTTATTTCATTATGAAGTACCCATCTGAAGAGTAGTAAAGTTATGTGACCTGGTTCCAATTTGCTGAGCTTATGCATGGGTGCAAGGTCATAGGTGTAATGGAAGTGCCCTCTCCCAGCGTGCTCTGCTGGACGTCATTGAGGCCCACATAGGAATAGATTCCCTGATTAGTATGAGATAATGGATCATGTTACATCAAGAGACACATTATCTGCTCGTTGTTTGTAAATAGTCTTCAAAGACAGCTTGGCTGATGTATAACATTGCCTGTTTCTGTTCTGTGGTTAGTCCTTATGTTTAGCATGTGTAAATGCCGTGACACTAGCACCAGATGTGCAGGACTAATACACAATCCAAAGCTAGCTGCAAAGACAACCATAAGAAATGGTTTCAAAACAGCAGCGCATATATCTGTCCTGGGGCTTTCCATGGAAGGCCCATTTGATCATTTTATCAGAGTTGATTACTTTCAGTTGCTCCAGCAACTAGCTCTCCTTAGTTTTTCGCTACTTTTCCAACACAATTTTTTACATGTCCCTAGTTTAAAAGGAATTCTGAGAAAACTGAAGGCTTCAGTTTGTTCATGACCCAAGGAAGATCCCAAAATAGACAACTGCACATATGGAATCCACTGCTGTGACTGGTGAAATCTGATATTTTACCAAGAATATAAAATACAGGGGTCTGCAGGTAGTGTATACCACTATGGGACAGGAAGGCCGCTACTGTTTTTAATGAAGACTGGTCACAAAACTGGGATAGTTTCAAATGAGCAAATAAAAAAATGGATAAGGTTACCAATAGTGAAATCAACACATCGAAACAATCAGCAGATCTAGAAAAATAAACAGCTAAAATGATATGCATATCTAAACGTTCCCTGTAAAAGTCAAGCTTGGTATTGGACACATTATTCAGAATTAAAGGACAAGTAGGAAGACAGAAAGGGCCAAGGAAAAGCTCAACATTTACAGGAAGATCAAATACAGTAAACTATCTGTTATCCGGTATTCAGCTAACCGGAACTCCCATCTAACCGGCAAAAAAAAAACTCCACTGTGTAATCACTGTTCTGCCAATCTGCTACCTTCTAGGAGAGGGTGAGAGGGCTATGGAGCATGGTAAGGTACAGGAATGGGCCCAAAAGTGCTGGATTATCCTGGGAATGGGTGTCTGAACAATCTCTGAAAAGTGCTGTGTTATCCTGGAAACGGGTGTCTGATCAGTCTTTTGTGAAAGTGCTGTGTTATCCTGTGAACAAGCGCCACCTAGTGATCACTCCCAGTACTGCAATGTATTGCTAATGGTTTAGAGTACAATATACTGTTATGGTATGGTATAGTAAGGGGTATAGCATTTGTTAAACTCATTTTTAATAACTCAACTCCATTTTTAACTCTCAAGCGGAGGTACAGAGCAGAATAGCCGAGCCGAATGCCGCTCAGCGGCATTAGGCTGTTCACTCACTGCCGTTCGGCCCTTATGTGAATAGGGCCGAACGACAGTGAGTTAGCTGCCAGAGCTTCGGCTCAGCTGATCCAGATGTTGGATCGGCTGAGTCAAAGTCCTTGTGCACTTCGGCTCAGCTGAACATGAAAAAATGTCTTCCCTGAGTTTTGAGTTAAATGGTGTGGTAGCTGTTAAATGTCAATTTAAAAAAAAAAGTGTAATAAAAAATAATGCAGTGTTCTTTAAAAGCGTGTGCTGTATTTACATTATTGCCTTTGTTTCTTTCTTCAGACCAGCAGTGCTACAATGGTACTGGTACTGATTATCGAGGATCAGTCAGTGTGACCAAGTCTGGACACCAGTGCCAACCATGGAACAGCCAGTTCCCACACAGTCACCAGCTGTCTGCTGCGGAATATACAGAAATTGGTGGGGGGCATGCATACTGCCGTAACCCTGGTGGCCAGATGGAGGGTCCGTGGTGTTTTACACTGAACAAGAATGTGCGCACAGAGCTATGTGACGTGCCTGCTTGCCGTATGTATCAGCATGGACAAATGTTGAAAACTTCATTAGAAATTTTTTTTTTTCCTTTATAACATTTCAATATCTGTTTAGTTGAGGGGGTATAGAAACAATCTGTTATGTGAAAACAATTATTGGGGTCTTGCATTGCTTTTTCCCCACAAAGAAAAAGCAAAGACAATTTGTATTATATTGATGGCAATGGAACACTCAAACTTTAAAGTGTATTTCCACTTTTGCAGTAAAAATTGAGAAAACCCTCTATAGGTTTGTTATGTGTTCCTATTCACACAGCATGCAGAAAAATAATTTAAAAAAATATATTTTTTACCTTTTAGTTGTCTCTGTAGAGCAGGCCTTTGGACAGACTGCACACTCCTCTGTACAGTTTCCAAGTGACAGGAAACTCTGGCTGTCCTCATAAAAAAAACTAGGGACACTCTGGGCTTCCTATCATTTATATAAAATGCTTATAAATCTGTAATCCTTTGAGAAACCTTCGAAATACAAAGTATTCAAATCTAGTTTATCAACCGATAACAAAAAACCCTTTTTCAGTATGTTTGGCATGCCTCAGTGTATAACATACACTCCTGCCAGTAAAAGCACTTCCTGTTTCAGACTGACAAAGCCAGTTGCATGCAAGCAGCAACACAGTTGTCAGCCTGCCATGTATGCTCCTTCCTTTGGCTGTTGGCCTGCTTATCTAATTGAACTGATCAGCAACCTAACAGTCAACTCAGTGAGCAGACAGGGCAAGCTGACAAAGCTTCTGCTCTGTGTAAAACAGCACCTCAAACAGGAAGTTCTGTTACTAGCAGGATCTCCAGGGAAGAAAATTTGCAAACGATTCACGCATTATTTTTTTTATTTTTTTGTTTTGCTTAACCTCCCTGGCGGTATTCCCGAGTCTGGCTCGGGGTGAATTTTCAATGCTAGGAGCGGTAACCCCGAGCCAGACTCGGGGCTGCAGAGAAAACTGACACTCACCTTGTCCCTGCGATCCCGCGGTGTCCTCTTCTGTATACAGTGAGACATGATGCCAAAAATACTGAAAAACAGATGTTGGGTTTACATGCATTTTAAGTCAGCCAGGGAGTAGTCTAGTAAAGAAGATTCACAGGGTTATTCACTAAAGAGTGAAGAGTTTGGAGAAGGCAGGGGAAGTGAACAATATAGGACAACATCGCTGAACAGGAAAGTTGGAGAATTTTTCCAAATCAGCCATGTTGTCCTAGATTGTTCACTTCTCCTGCCTTCTCCAAACTCTTCAGCCTTTTGTGAATAACATTTATGTGGATTATGTTTAGGATCTGATGCTCTTACCATCAGAAGTTAGGTGTACCACTTCATAGATAGTATGTTGTGATTGTGTCCTATACTGTGCTCTCTTAATAAAGTCTGGAATTTAGTAATTCAGTCTTTCCACTGTACATTTAAATTATTTTATTGTCCTTTTTAATCTATTTTCAGAGTTATGTTTTTCCCATTAGCTGTACTATACAGTTTTAGTAATTAGTTTTTTATTGTTTACAGGCACTCGTGATAATACAAAGTTGGAAATCCTGTACATATTGGTTCCCAGTATTGCTATCCCATTGGTCATTGCCTGTCTCTTCTTCCTGGTCTGCATGTGCCGCAATAAACAGAAAGCATCAGGTGCTACACCGCAGAGACGTCAACTAATGGCCTCACCTAGCCAAGACATGGAGATGCCTCTTATGAACCAGCACAAGCAACAGGTAAACCTGGATATCCTTACATCTAAACAGAACATTTATGAAGACTGCCCTGGCAACTTTAGCATGTTGCATATTTTCTGAAGTTTGAATTATGTATAATACTGTTGCATATGTTTTATTATTCAACTAGGCACATAATCAACAAATTGTAATATTTGATTATTGTGCAGAAATGCTCAGAATGTATGAATCTCGTAAGAGTTAAAGCACAACAGGTGCTAAAAAGTGTTCAAACTTTAGAGCCAGACATACACCATTTTCATACAAGCGCTCATGCAAAAAATCTTGTGAGAACATTCGATAATGCCATCAGAGACTTGAAGAATGTTGTATGTTCAATTTGTTGTTTGATTTTAACATTTGATTTTGAAATGAATGAATTGGAGTATCTCGAATGAAAACCACATTCATTGTTAGAAATACTTTCATTCGAGAAAACGTTTCCATCGTGATCCCTTAAAAATGTTTTGATCGGTTGAAACCGATCAATGATTTGACCCCATTAACTATTACAAAATCAAACATTCTGAAAACATTTTTTGAACAAAGTTCTACTGGTGTATGACCAGCTTTAGAGTTCATTGTCTTATAAAGACATTCTGAAAAGGATATGTGTGCATTTAGTTATTGTTTATTCTTTATTCCTAGGTCAAAGTAAAAGAAATAAACCTGTCCACTGTGAGGTTCATGGAAGAGCTGGGTGAAGATCGTTTTGGGAAAGTTTATAAAGGTCATCTCTTTGGTACTGCTCCTGGTGAACAGACACAGACAGTTGCTATTAAGACCCTGAAAGACAAAGTGGAAGTGGCTCTTCGTGAGGAATTTAAACATGAAGCCTTGATGAGGTCTAGGTTGCAGCACCCAAACATTGTCTGTCTTGTTGGTACAGTGACCAAGGAACAGCCCATGAGCATGATATTCAATTACTCTCCACTCAGTGACCTTCATGAGTTCCTAGTCATGAGATCTCCACACTCTGATGTAGGCAGCACAGATGATGACAAGACTGTGAAGTCTAACTTGGAGCCAGCTGATTTCCTCCACATTGTTACCCAGATAGCTGCAGGAATGGAATTCCTGTCAAGTCACCATGCTGTACACAAAGATTTGGCTGCCAGAAATATTTTAGTCTTTGATAAATTGACTGTTAAAATTTCTGATCTTGGCCTGTTTCGAGAAGTGTATTCTGCAGACTACTATAAACTAGTGGGGAATTCAATGCTCCCAATAAGATGGATGGCCCCGGAAGCAGTTGCATATGGTAAATGCACCATCGATTCTGATATTTGGTCCTATGGTGTGGTGTTGTGGGAAATCTTCAGTTATGGCTTGCAGCCATATTGTGGATATTCCAACCAAGATGTCATTGAAATGATAAGGAACCGACAACTGCTACTTTGCCCAGATGAGTGCCCAGCTTGGATATATTCCCTCATGCTTGAGTGCTGGAATGAGTTTCCTGCTAGAAGGCCTAGATTTAAGGATATTCATACAAGACTAAGAACATGGGAAAATATGTCTAACTATAACAGTTCTGCACAAACGTCTGGAGCAAGCAACACAACACAGACAAGCTCACTTAGTACAAGTCCAGTTAGCAATGTCAGCAATACTAGATATGTTGAACTGAAGCCCAAAGGGCGGCCATTTCCACAACCACAGTTTTTACCAATGAAAGGACAGATTAGATCAATGGTTTCACCCCCTCAACTCTACATTCCAGTCAATGGCTATCAACAGATGGCTGCTTACTTTTATCCAGTCCAGATACCAATGCAAATGGCTCCTCAGCAAATGCCACCACAAATCATTCCAAAACCTGGATCACATCACAGCGGGAGTGGCTCCACAAGCACCGGTTATGTAACGACTGCACCATCAAATAACTCAATGGCCGACAGAGTGGCTCTTCTAGCTGATGGAAGTGATGAGGCACATGCAACAGCAGAGGACATTTCTCAGAACCCTGTTCGAGAGGAAGAAGATGGCTCCGTACCAGAGACAGAATTGCTGGGAGATAACGATACCTCGCCATTAGATGAAACAGATATGCATTCGGAAGCTTAAACTCCCTTTGTTTACTAGGAGGCTTCATTTTCACTTGAATAGTACAGCTAAGTGAGTCAAATAATTCATATGGTGCCTATATTCCAAGCTAAAGCTAGAGCCATAGTTTTCCTTAGTGTTGGCAGCAGCAACACTCAGGATTTCCCAAAAGGTACGCCATTTTAAAGTAAAAATGTACTGTTGCTGTGCAACATACGGCTGAGTACCAATGCACAACATGTGTAACCCAGACTGTGATTGTAAATTTAATAGAAAGTACCATGTTCTTTTTTTTAGGAAAAAAGGAAGAGTGCAAATGAAATAGACTTGCTGCATAAACTGCATTTTTTCCCATAATCTTGCAACATATCTTACAGGGTGAGCTTATCATTCCTAAACATTAGCCACAGTGGCTACTAATTATCTACAAATGGTTGCAGAATGTGACAAGATGGCGTCTGTGTCACATAACTTTTGCTCCAGTGTGGAGAGAATGTTTCTCCTTTGGTTTCTTTACATCACATACACTTCATCTGTATACATGTTGGGAAAACAAGAGGTGAAAAGTGTATCATGGACTAACGTTCAAACAGCATCACTTGTAACCTGAATTAAGGCTCTGAATTTCTTTCTATTTTAGATTAGTATCTAACTAGATATGACAACTAGTTTCACACACTGCTGATGCAGATATCAAGATGTTTTTGAAAATGAATGCTTTTGAAAGAAATCAGTTCTAGTGTTGCCCAACAGTGTTGTTCAGGTTGCTGTTCTAGTTGTGCCATCTTGCAAAGTAAATCATGTACAGTTTTTAAAATGTAATTTATGTTTTATCACCTTTTTATATACCTTTTTGTTTTTTTAAATGGAAGTGTTTTGATCCAAAAATACCTTTATAATTTAACTGTTTACATTCTCCACCCTGGATACAGTTTATTTTAGAATTTCTGTGTTGTTTTTTTTATTATATAAAAGTGTAAACAGGTCAATTAATTTCATGCCTTTGTTTTTGTTGAAAACTTACAAGCTGCACATTTTGCTGTATCAAAGTGCATACTAGAATTTGTGTTTTGGAAATCCAAAAACAAAGGAGTTTTTAATAAAGGTTGTACAAAAAATGGGATCTAAAATGTCATGCTAGTCTTTCTGACATAGAAAAGAAAATGCAGAAGTAAAGAGACTCTCCATTAAAAAATATATGTACACATCAAAAAGGATAATATTAGCTGTCTTGGTGCCTGCAGACAGCTGTGAAGTCTCCCCGAATCTGGCCAGTACTACACATTAGACATCTGAGAGGAAACTGGCACAGCAATGGGTACTTTCAACTTCAGTTCAGTACATATTTTACATTTCAGGACATAGGAGACTGCTATTAGCAAATCTATTTTTATGTGACTGGAGAGCATTTTAAATGGAATTTCAGGAATTTCAGGAAAATTGCAATTTTATTGGTGTCGTTATGTGGATCCCTATTAACCTGCCGTTTCCTATGAACCTCTGTGACCACTGTTTGAACTATGTTTTGGACTGTGATCCAGCAACAAAAATGTAATTCTTCTGGTAGGCAATCACTAATTTTCAATTTATGCAACAATACCAGATTTTACTTGGGAAGACCATAGTGCTATACAGAAAGGTCTTTAAACGTTTTCCTGGGAATAAAACAGTATGCTGAAAAAGATTACAGATTCTAGTACTTTTGTAATTAAAAACTTAATTTCTAAACAAAATCTGGAGGGTGCTTCCATTTCTGAGCAGAACGTGCATCCAAAGTTGTGTCCTTGTGGCCGTAGAAGCAGTATCCTCATTATAGGGGGGGAAATGGCATAAAAAAGTACGAATACAAAAATGAACCTCTAAACTACTGAACACATAAAACACACACAAAAAGGAACAAGTATTAAAACAGCACACAGTATTGAGGAACAGAAGACAGTTTAAAAAAAACATGTGGCAAGGATCAAAGATAAAAATAACAAAACTGTGTATATTTTCTGAAGATGAAAGCAGGGTACCTCTTCCTAACCTACCAATTTCAGAACTTGTGTGTAAGAGATCCACCCAAAAAAACATTAACAAAGTTTATAGGGTGTAGCTCCTATGCTCTGTGCCGCTTTCCCCACCACTGCCCAGCCACTGTTAATGGACATGACAGCCAGCACTCTGTGTATCACAGGAGCAGCTGCAGCTGTAAAAAAAAATGAAGCTTCTGGGTAGTGTTCATTTTTACATTGCATTTACTTAGTTTAGGTCCTGTGCCATCCGGTGAATGTAGAACCCAAAGAGGACCGAGGGGCAGGATCTAAAGCACTGCCCAGCATTCACCAAAACACCCTGCAAGGGCTGATGGGCTTTGCTGCGGACAGCTACCAGGTTGTGCACACTTGACTGGCAACAGCAGGTAGGAAGAAAGTGTGAACCTTTTTAAAAAATGCTCCAAACCGAAAGGCATTCCTAATGGGATTAATGTTTTATATTGTTGCCCTAAGCGTAAGGCAATAGAAGCCTTTCCTACACAACACCTTCAATAGGGATGGAAAAGAAGAGCTACATATCTTGCATGAATTGGGTATAAACTCCCACAAGAGTCTAAGGTAGAAGCATTTCAACATTTGGTAAACTTACATAGATAACCTCCCTACCAGCATTAACTACTTCAGCTTTCACACCTACTGTATATACCAGAGCAATTTTTACATTTCAACTTTGGATCTATTGATATGGTGATACCATTGTCATTACTTTAAAGCGGACCTTTACACTCAAAAATCTAATTCTACAATGATTGATGGTTAATAATAACATAGACATGTCAGGTCTAAAATGCTGCCATTATGAAATACTTACACTTGCAGAGCATTCAATTCCTGCTTTGAAAGGGCAACTGACTTCAGTTTACCAACGCAATGCACACTGGGATTGCCTTGTCATCAGCAGAGCATTGCTGGGGAATCTCATTTTAATGAAAAGCATTTTCCTACTCTGAGATGATGTGCATGGTCACATGTCTAGTCACAAGTGCCAGTGCCAGATTTTCAGGAAGTAAAAGGAGATCTAGTAATCTTCCCTTAGTAAACATGGCCACTGTCAGAAGACTGGGGAAGAAAAGAGAAATAAGGAATGCAAAGAATACAAAGCCGGCAATGATCTAGAAGTATGTGTTTGTAGATCGTCATTACTAAACATTTCTAAAGGTGTGTTTGGTGTTATTTTAAAGATATGAGTAAAGGTCTGCTTTAAGATAACAAAGTAACAAATATATATATATATATA